CACTCGCAGCAGCGGGTTCAGGATGTTCAACACATCTGGCCTTCCACACGTACAACACGCACGCCAGCGTGTTGCCCCTCACCAGTCGAGCATGTCGTTGCGCTTGCCAACATTTGCGAAGCGGATGCGATAGATGATGGCAAACAAAGGCAGGCTCCAGTAAAACACGAAGACCGAGAAGAGGAAGGAAGGGAGGCTTAACGCTTTGCTTGGTACAGACATCTTGTAATGTGATATTCGAAAATAAAATCTCTGCAGGCTGTTCACGCAGCTAAGTAGATTGATTGAAAGAGAGTTGTCACACTCTGGGAACCGGCTACCGTTCGATTTCTCGGGAATCCCTTCATGTGGTGTTCATTTCTTGTTCATTCCGTGATCGTTTCGTAGTGAAGGGTTGAGGGGCCTTCAGGAGATATCGAAGGAGTTCGGCTGGAGTGGTCACTTTGCATGCAAAAGCCTTCTAATGTCGTCATGCCAGGAATTGTCTTCATTATTTATGACTGTATGCATTCTCCAAACGTGAATTTTCTGAGCTCATCCCAAAATGAAGGGCTCAGGACACATTGAAGCAGATTGGCTGAGGTGGATAATAATTCAAGGATTTGTATATAGAAGCCTTCTACTATCATCATGCCAGCATTGTTTTTAGTGAGAGCATGACGAAGCATAGTGTTTTGGAGCTACGTTCAGAAATTGAGTACAGATGCACACAGCAACTATTCCCAAGTCTTGCTTGCTGTTGAAGATGTAATAATATCTAATAAAGATGGCCCTCCAGCTAAAACATATCCACATTACCTCGACTGTATGCGTTCTCCAAATTTGAAATTTCGTGTGCGTCCTGCGGACGCAAATATCATAGCACGTCTCGCGCATATAATCATGCCATCAGGCAGCAGTGCATCCAGCTTCACTTCATGGTGATAATAATGGCAAGAGGCTGCGGCTCCTAACGAGATGGTCGCTCGAGGTAGTGAGAAATTGCTGCAACACGATGCCAGGTACTGTGTATGGTTAAAACTGTGACGTCCAATATGATGCAAATGAATCTCCTCAGAAACAACAAGCTCCAGTTGCGGCGGCCCCTTCGGCGGTTGGTGCGGGATCAAGCTAACCAACCGGATCATATAGGTACAATAAACGAAAACCAGCAGGCTCGTCACATGTAGGGCATCAACGACTTAAAGCTAGGTCCACCTGTCAGTGTAGGTGTCTCCAGTGGCGGTGGACATGGAGTGGAAGGGCCAGGCGGAAATGCAGTGGAGCACCGACAACCTCACAGGTGAGGCCGTATT